TTTTTTTTTTTTTTTTTTTTTTTTTTTTTTTTTTTTTTTTTTTTTTTTTTTTTGGTAAATTAAACATCAGCTTGACACTATTTAACCTAATTTACACATTATTACAGAATAAAGATCAAGACTTAAATATATGGTTATTATTGACACTAACTCTCTGAACTGCTCGTCACACATATATTAAATGACACTAATATATTGGTAAATTAAACATCAGCTTGACACTATTTAACCTAATTTACACATTATTACAGAATAAAGATCAAGACTTAAATATATGGTTATTATTGACACTAACTCTCTGAACTGCTCGTCACACATATATTAAATGACACTAATATACAATAAATTTAATGAAACGGTTCACACTATTTTTTTAAAGTATATTATAAAACTTTAAACGGTCTTTTACGTCACCTCGATGCTTTTTTTTTGATAAAATAACTTCTTGAGCACAATTCAAAGTCAAATTTACATTAGAGCCAGAGCAAGAGCTGCTATGGTAGAAATGCCAATAACGGTGTAGCCAGTAGTGTAGACGTCTTTGATTGTCAAAAACTTGCCCAAATCCCAAGCCTAAGACAAATAATCATTACAACTATATGCTAATGTTAAAATGATGGTGATATTTTTCTGAGTGTTAAATTATTATTTACCAAGTGTCTGATACCATTGAAGTAATGGTAAGTCAATGGATAGGCAAGTAATGTTTTGCCGGTAACAAGCAACGCGGATGGCAAGCCCCATGCAGCAATAGCATCAATAAGGCATGGAATCCCTCCAGGGTAGAACAACGTTCCTGGAAATACATGCGCACCAAGAGAAAAACTTTATTCTAAAACCGTTTTTAAATATCTAAACAAAAGTCTAACCGAAAGATACGGAAAGTAAGAATTACCAAAGGCAAGAATAATGGAGTATGAGCTCAGTATTATGCCAGTTGCACGATGTGATACAGACAGCATAGACGTCAGCTGGACCTGGTAGATCGTCAGGTGAGGAGACAACGGTCGCTTCAGTCGCATGTTCTTCTCATCGTGTGACTCGCATACTGGGGCTGCACGAAGGGCAGGGCTGTTCACGCTGACACTGACAGGACTGTATACAAACAAATTATGAAAAATGTCATAAAATAAGATGCAATAATGTTTGACAAAACAGGTTAAACGTTACATAACTCACCTGGACGTGTATAAACAGCGAAAATTACGGAGATCCAGGCTACGCCTGCACAGCAGTCTACAAACAATATTGGTTGATTTAGCTTTGATTGACGATTTAAGTTGTTAAAGAACGGTGTGACTTATCATCCCTCGTATACCCCTATAAGCTTTCACCCGGACAAGTGTCAACAAAAACAACTTACCTCGTATAACAGAGCGCCATGATTTTACGATTGGCTGACTTTGAGATAAATAATCGTTATGCGACTTTTAAATATAACAAAGATTGTCTATTTTTGTAAACCGGCAACTGTTCATTTGGTAAAATACTGCGATGTTGTGAACTTTGTGTGTATACATGTGGAAGTGTCAATAAGCAGACGAACGTAAGTTCGCGAGCTCTGTCGATCGATAACTCGATGGTTGTCAAGATTCGAGATGGTTTGAATTTTTTTTTTTTTCAGAGTTTCAAATTTAATCTTCATAATAACTGTTTGATGAAGGTAAAGTATCAATTTTTTATTATAAAACAGCCAAAAGTGAAGAGGAAAACGGGGTATGGAAATAAAAGAGACAATGTTCACATTTACATTACTTACTCATTAATGTTTAATGACAACATGAGCGTAAATAACGTAGATTTTTTTTTTTCTAACACATGACGCTAAATTGCGACAGAGCTGTCAGGATGTTACTTAGACACTTAATTACTTTTGCAAATGTCATAATTTTCGGTGGATTCGAGACGAAGGTAACGTCTGCTTGACATACTGTAAATGACTACTACACCAATTCATTTTACAACTTGTGTGTGAATATGCGTATTATATTTTTGTGGCCGTGTTGACGTATTTATTTGTAATGTCAATGATAACTTATGCGCACAATCATTTGCGAATATAACTCGCGTATTAGTTTTTTTCTTCCTCGAAAAATCAATTTTTTTGATGTTTTTGAAGTAAATTGTTTGTGTCGAAAATTTTATTTAATCATCGGTTGGACGAGTTGTGTGACTTTGTATGTGCTCGCAAAAAATTTACAAACGATTTCAATAACAATCATCATATTAATATTAATATAACGTTCAAAAATAACAAGACATTTTTATTTGTTTGTATTCTTTTTTTTCATGACGATTTTACTTGTATGACATTAAAGTAATCGTAAAATAGTTTCAAGATAATTTTCCAGAAAATTTTCAATGTACGTAATACGTGCAATATTCACTGTTGGTTAATTTTTTCGCTCATAACTCATATATGTATGTTACTCTTGATAATACAACAATATAAATGTAATAGAGTACTGAAAACCTTTCAGTACATTGCATGTTTCTCATTTTTGTTCCTTTAAGTGCGCTAACCCAAGAGACACGGTAATAATGCAATATAGCCGGCTACCACGCGATATATTGCACGAATAATTATTCCCCCTCTTTTGTACGTGTAATTTTTGGTGGCATTTCATGAACACGATATCATAACGATGCACACATTGCCTAGCCATGCTATATAAAACAAAATTGTCTTTATATTATCTACCACATTATTCCTTGACACAGAGCTATTTTCGACTATAACGATGTACTAATAAAATGACTCGTTTTAACAAACATTCAAAACATCACTGAGCTGATTGCTGTTGTGAGATTTTAAAGAAAACATTATATATAAATTATCGGCAAGTACTCCAAGTGACAGCCATTACGTCGATGTAAAAATGCACGTGATTACGTTCAATTAACAATTGATATGACATTCAAATAATTTATATACAATTTTTCTCAAAGTTAGAGCTCAGTATACAAAGTATAATTAATAAACGATTATATATTTATACATAATATATATTATACACTTAAGATAATAACATTGTGTAATGCATTATTTCATCCAAACATCTCTACTTTTGTATACACGACTACCAAAAATTCTATAGATTCAAAAATTATAATAAAAATCACGTATGCTTCGTTAAAATTAATAATATTACGGTACACGATTCATTGCAAAGTAAACATATATACTTTTTAGCATTCGTACATTGTATAACACTATTATTATTATTTATATACTTTTATAGTTGCGCTCCTCGAAAATTTGAAGAGTCTTTGTGTCTCGTGTATCTTAAAATTGTATTATTTTATCATGTAGTATAAGCTTACAACTAGTAACCATACGTGAGGAGGCCAAGATTCAGCTGACTCTATGAAAAAACAATTCTTAGGTGTAAAACCGTACATAAAATAATATGAGACTCGGGACGAGGTTCTCTGTTGGGGAAAAATAGTTTGGCTGCTTTTGTAATCTCGTTCGGAATAATTTCTCTGTTGTGGAAGTAAAACTATTAAGTTGAACTCTTCGTAAGTTTTTTTAAGTTATTTTTTTACGAGACAAAAAAAAACTAAAATCGTAAAACATTCTGAGAAAAGTGGGCAACTCGAAAGAAGACAAAAATTCAACCTAATCAGCTAATTATAGAGAAATCTTTCCGAAATTGAAAGATGTATGTTTATACGGGAAGTAGCTAAAAAAATTGAAGCCTAATTACGCATTAACCAGGACATCGACGGCGATATGTAGTTCCCAATTTAAATACGTCGACTAAAAATCAGTCCTTTGGGTTTACCATTTTTAATATAAAACTTTCTAAAAATCAAAAGGAATGTATATAGGAAGTATATACCATTCATCATAAGTATTTAGTTATTTATCGTCAAGGAGGTTGTTTTTAAAAAAAGTAAGTAACAATACACATTATCATTAATTTGGTATTATATAAATTAATTTGTCCATTTTTAAAAATGGTAACTATTTTTCTCAAAAGTTATTTTCATGAGATCAATAGATATCGATGTATCTAATCACCTATTTCACGATAAATTTTCGAAAGTGTATATCAAAATGAGATTATGTAATATTTTCAAAATCTATTTTTGAAAATAAATATTTCAAATAATATTTAATTAATTAATTAAAAACGATAATTTGTTACTGCACAAGTAAGAAAATAGTGATGAAATGAACAAATTAGTTTGATGTAAAAAAATAGACTTTAAACTTTCTAATTGCGTAATCTTCGATTTACAAATGATCAATGTTATTTTTCGAGTTTTCGAAAAAATGAACGTAAAAATTAAAACTGTTGAAAAAATCTGTGATAAACTCACATTAAATACTCAGTCAACATGTATATATTATATAAATAACAAACAAACGTGAAATGTACCTTACCTTTGCTAATATTTTTCCACGTGCAACATAAGAACTCACTATTAATTAACAATCATCACTTAAAACAGCAATAAATAAACTCCTTGCGACCTACGTTTGCCTTACAAAATTCAAAATCATCTATAAACTTACTTTGTTTGAATATATAAAAGACAAAAAAAAGGATAGAAGAAAAAGTTCAAGATAAAACTCATTTGCTCTCGCGTCATTCGCAAACGGCTCTATAGCAATAGTAGTTTAGTAGTAGCAGTAGTAGCGAAATGTCTTCGAGGACGTCAGACGTTGCTGTCGGGCCTTGGGCTGATGCCCATTGGCTGAGCGTTTTCAACCAGGTTCGACCTCGTGCTCGACGACACTCCCTGCTGCTGCTGCTCAGTCACCGCCGCTGCTCTGATCATATCATCTCTCGATGCCCTGCAAACATTTCGCAAGATTATTATTTTTTTTTTTCCCACCCTCTTAACAATTTTTCTATCGAGTTCACGACACAAATTTACTCGATGTGCGATCTAATTCAGCATTGGTTGAGAGAGTAATTGTACATATAAGTAGTGCGTATTTCAGAAATGAAATCGACAACTGTTGAAGTTTGCCGATTCACTTATCTGCCAATCAAATGATTGATTTAGCCCAATCAATCAATAAGGTAGTGAATAGTTGTGTCAACTACAATATCAATTTACGAAATTAAAAAGTTCTAATTTTACAAACAGGTGTAAATTAAATGTTAATGAAAGATACATACACATATAGCCACAACATAAATGTACAAGCGTGATTAAAGAATAAATAATGATGATTGAAATCCAGTTGAATCAAATACATTAAAATCAGTTATCTACAATCTCGTTTGGTGTAAAACTGACAAGTACGTTTTTCCTTTTTTTACGTGACTTTTGAAATAGTTGACTACCCTTTTTACTTGGTAATGATGAACAATATAAATAAATTTAAAAAAAAGAAATGTACTAATTTAATCAATTTTTTTGATGTTTTTGAAGTAAATTGTTTGTGTCGAAAATTTTATTTAATCATCGGTTGGACGAGTTGTGTGACTTTGTATGTGCTCGCAAAAAATTTACAAACGATTTCAATAACAATCATCATATTAATATTAATATAACGTTCAAAAATAACAAGACATTTTTATTTGTTTGTATTCTTTTTTTTCATGACGATTTTACTTGTATGACATTAAAGTAATCGTAAAATAGTTTCAAGATAATTTTCCAGAAAATTTTCAATGTACGTAATACGTGCAATATTCACTGTTGGTTAATTTTTTCGCTCATAACTCATATATGTATGTTACTCTTGATAATACAACAATATAAATGTAATAGAGTACTGAAAACCTTTCAGTACATTGCATGTTTCTCATTTTTGTTCCTTTAAGTGCGCTAACCCAAGAGACACGGTAATAATGCAATATAGCCGGCTACCACGCGATATATTGCACGAATAATTATTCCCCCTCTTTTGTACGTGTAATTTTTGGTGGCATTTCATGAACACGATATCATAACGATGCACACATTGCCTAGCCATGCTATATAAAACAAAATTGTCTTTATATTATCTACCACATTATTCCTTGACACAGAGCTATTTTCGACTATAACGATGTACTAATAAAATGACTCGTTTTAACAAACATTCAAAACATCACTGAGCTGATTGCTGTTGTGAGATTTTAAAGAAAACATTATATATAAATTATCGGCAAGTACTCCAAGTGACAGCCATTACGTCGATGTAAAAATGCACGTGATTACGTTCAATTAACAATTGATATGACATTCAAATAATTTATATACAATTTTTCTCAAAGTTAGAGCTCAGTATACAAAGTATAATTAATAAACGATTATATATTTATACATAATATATATTATACACTTAAGATAATAACATTGTGTAATGCATTATTTC